CGCCGTCATGCATCGCCACAGCAACCAGCCCAGCCACTTCTGCCAACACGCAATGCTCCCTCCCGCTCTAACACACAAAGAAATGTATATTCCCTTTATGTGTTTCACCTTATGATAGTTATTTCTTTTACTTTTTTACCCATTATGTATATAAGATTGTGTGTGCATATAAATGATTAAAAAAAAGTGAAGAGCGTTAAGTTTATCTATCCAAAACTACGAGCTAAAAACTAATCATAACATAACTTCCCCCAGTTCATCCTGCTAACTCTTGCTGGTGCATGTGTGCTACTCTGCTATCTTAACAGCTGTACTTCTCGTGCTTGTGATGGCTCCCAAACGCCCTCAACCACTTTCATCCAGCCATGACCCCACTGGAGAAGATACAACTGCTGGACAAACTTCGGCGTGACCAACGGGAGTAAAGCAAGGGTAAGTGAATGACTGTGTTTGCTAGTTAGAGCGTCGTCTGCTCTTGTAACTCTCCTCACTCCCTGCCATATTTCACTGGATTTACTGTTATAATTAGTGTTTACTGATAGAATAGTGCTGAATAGTGATTAAACATGGCATTGTAGCCAGGTTAGACTCGTCACTGTAACCACCAGGCTACTGGGCCAAGCTGTTTTTCAACTCAGATTTTCAGGTAGATATGTGACTTACTTCATTTATTTTTACTCGGTTATAGGCACACACCATCCTACATACATATTGTGAAAAAGAAGATAAAAGAAATAATTAACCTAAGGGCAAACACATAAAGGGAATACCTTTACTAGTATACATTTCTTTGCACAAAAGTTAGCTGGCTCAGCGAGGGAGGGGAGGAAGCAAGGCGGAGGTGGCATCCTTGCTGGTCTCGTTGCTATGGTGAAGCAGGGAGTATGCAAATGGTGACTGTGTTAGACTTTCATTTGGCTTTTATCTACTGGTTTGGCAATACAGTAAACCCATGCCATTCACGGGTTTGTGATTCACGATTTTGATGATTCGCGGTAAGCAGATGGTGGCTAGCTTGTGAGGTTCACACGCAGCGCAACATGTCACCCCACGTGCCCACAGCGTCTCCTCTCCCTCTGTTCGCACTCAACCATTGTCTGTGATGCAGAATTTCTTATTGTACTCTCAAAACTTAAGTGCATCTGTGTGAAAACTACCCCTAAAAGACTGCCTAGTGTCAGTGTTAGTGATGCGAGTGGAGTGAAACATAAAAGGCAGAATTCAGTGAAGATCCTGACAAAGAAAGTTGAATTATTAGACAATTTAAAGGAGTGGATGAGTGCTGCCGCAGCTGGTCAGTTATTTGGTGTAAAAGTTCAAACCAGAGACAGTGAATACTTGTTGGCAAACCTTATGGCCTGACTGTGTGAATAACTTCCAGGGATTTCCGTCCATAGTAAAGGATGTGAATGACATTGTGAGTGTTGTACGTCAATTGGGTGGTGAGGAGTTTGTGGACATGGCTGCTGAAGATGAGGAAGAGCTGATTGATGGGCATGGAGAGGAACTGACAGAAGAGGATTTGGAAGAGTTGGTAAAAAGTGTTGAGGCAGATGAAAAAGAAATTATGGAATTGCAACAAGAAGGTTGGGGCTTGAACAATTTTGGTGAACTATTTCGACATGTGAAGTTTGATAACTGTTTTAGTTGTTGACCACGATCCTTCCATGGAACGGAGCCTTAAGATGGTCCGAGAAATCAACCAGGTACTGTATTATTTCCCTACCAGGAAATGTTTGAAGACCTCAAACCCAAGAGGAAACAACTACCAATCACAATGTCTTTCAAGAAAAAACCAGCTGCTCTCCCAGCTGATTCATTTCCCTCCCTCACTCCGTCAGCTGCTACTGCCCCCGCTCCACCCTCCTCCCCCCCAGCCACCTCCCACCTCACCACCCGCCTCCCAGCCACACGCCTCTCCACCACCAGCCTCTCCACCACCCTCCACCACCCTCTCCACCACCGCCTCCACCACCCGCCTCCACCACCCGCCTCTCCACCACCCACCTCTCCACCAACCACCATTGCACCACCTTCTTCCAACAGTGATCCTGATGATCCCCCTATGCTTCAGTAACCAGATGTCCCTATGTACAATGCACCACTTCATCAAGCTCCAAACTTCCACATATGAATGCAAGTAGTATTGGTGACTTAAGTTTCTCATACACACTACAATATAGGTATATATTAGTGCACTAAAGTAATATAAGTTGCTATTCACGGTTTTGCTAAATTGTGCCATTCCTTGGAACCTAACCCTTGTGAATAGTAAGGGTTTACTGTACAGTATATTTTGTTGTAACTTATTTATTGGTATTATTTTTATTTATTCTTCACATGTACTGGTACTATACAGTCTCTCCTCGACGTACAACAATCCAGACATACGACGGCTATGGTCATAAAAAATATTTTTCACATCAAGTATTTTCGAGTCCCGACGTTAGTGATTGTGCTGTAAGTCCCTTTAAAATGGCTGGCAAGCGTAAAAGTGAGAGTTCTCGTGGTGCTGAGAAAAAAAAGAGACACCCATTTTAGAATTTCTATATGTTATTTTCACCTTTTCGAATTACGACCAATTCGACTTACGACCTGGTCATTGGGAGAGAACCCCGTCGTAAGTCGACGAGAGATTGTATATATTATTTTAAGAAAACTATGGCTACAAGAGGAAAATACACACCAAAGCTTTCCTAAATACTCACTGCTAAAATGGGAGATTTGTCTTACATGGCCGAGCGTCTTATATGCCGTAAAATATTGTGCTGTATTTTTAGCGTTTTTTTTTTTTCATTATTTATCGGATAATCGGCTTTTCCGGATCTTCAAGGGTTCACTGTACAAAAAAATAAAAAATAAAAAATAAACAAATAAAAATACAGTACATAAAAAAAAATTACATACGTACGAAAAATGTAACACCATCACACCCCCCTAGGTCAGCAAATGATATTCGCAGATTTGGCACTTCGCGACCATTTTGATACCCAAACCTTTGCGAATTTTAAGGGTATGTTGTATATATACAATATACAAGCATCCCCCGCGTTTAGGAAGGGTTCCATTCCCGGAAAATTGACTGTATCGCGAAATTCCGTAAGGCGAAACCTATTTTCCCATTGACTTCCATTATAAAACTGGAGATGCGTTCCTAAGGAATTTTTTCGGCCCTAAAAAAGTAATTCAAGCGCTCTTATTAATGAAAATAAACATTTGTAAACACATACAATACAGTACATTAAATAATTTATGATATACCTTCTTAAAATACCAATTTAGGGGTTAATATTGCATAATATTGCATTATACAGCTATGTGTATGTTTATTTGAGTGCCCCATCATAGGAGTCCGTTTTGTCTCACTTCAAAGCCGCCCAAGTCGTCCGTTTTCACTTAATCTTAAGAGTGCACCAGGGACTACTGTATTATTTTTTAGTGGTGACACAGAATGTGATATTGCAACTGGGGTTGCAATTGTTGAGGCAACTTAGGTATGTCTGATTACAGTTGGAATATTCAAGATCCATTGTGAGTGATGTTTAAAACTTCAACTGTCTTTATGGTTGGTAAAACTTATCAAGTCTGTTAGTCTGAATGGCATGTGTGAGGCCTTGTGTTTGTTAAAATTTACCCCAATTTCCGTAAGGGCGGATTTACGGGCCATAACGCGAAATTATTGGTCATAATTTACAAATTCCGTAAGAGCGAAATTCCGTAACCCGGGCTTCCGTAACGCGGCCTGCATATATATATATATATATATATACAATGGTCCTTCGAATTATCGAACACAATTGGTTCCACAGAGTCGCTTGTTAACCGAAAATTTTGTTAACTGAATCTATTATTTCAATGGGATATTGGGTAATTGGTTCCAACTCATAGGAAAAGTATACATACAAAGTACTGTATACTGGTAATAGAATTAACAAAACATTAAATATAAACTAAATACAGTACTGTACTGTACAGTATACTGTACAATAATAAATAAAACACAATAGAATACTGTATTTTAACAGACTTTCAGGGGTGTATGTCATATAACTGGCAGCTTTGTTGCCATAGCAAACAGCTGATTGTAGAGGCAGTCGTTGATGACATGCCATATTCTTTACAGAGTGCATTGGTTCTAAACCCTTCTTCATATTTCTTAATAATTTCTGCACTGTATATTATCAATATGTTAACTAAATTTCAGAATGGCCAATAATTTTAATGTAAAAATGCAAAAATATTCATGAGGCCAAAAAACTCGATGTTCACTCCACTGTAAACAAAGTTAAACTGAGAAGCGGTGGTGGGTGATTCTGGGTGATTCGATCAGCTGAAGGGCACACAAAAACTGTTCCCTGTACTGTCTATATTATCAATATGTTAACTAAATTTCAGAATGATCAATGATTTTAATATAAAAAATGCAGAAATATTCAAGATACCAACTTTCTTGATATTTACCCCACTGGAAATGAATGTAAACATAGAGCGGACTAGCATTGGCGGACTAGCCGATCAGCTGATCAGCTGATGCGCATAACAAAGCATGTTTCACGTAAGGCTGTCATTAATTGAAGTTTTGTTCGTTAATGGAACTGAAAATCCTTATGGAGCTAATTCGGTAACTGAAATTTCGTTAATTGAACCGTTCGTTATTTGAGGGACCACTGTATATGTGTGTGTGTATATACATATATATTAGTGGTCACTGCCTTATGACCGGAACATTGTGGATCCCTGCTGTCCCCTAGGAACTTGATCTCACTCTCCTCTACTGTATATATTAGCCTTCTCAAGTATTTCTCCTTAGTCTGTACTGTACTCACCCCTGAAGATGTGAATTACACAAAAGCGCTTGGGAATTTCGTGTTTTCTTGTGGTTATCAGTATATATATATATATATATATATATATATATATATATATATATATATATATATATATATATATATATATATATATATATATATATATATATATATATATAGTACTGTACTCACCTCTCTGTGTGAAGATCAGAAGAAGTCAACGAGGAGTCTTCTGACCCAACACTGTTAAGTGAGGCACAGTTGACTTCCCGCTGTTCCTTTGCTTTCTTCTCCTCCCACTGGGCCTTCACCTCATCAGCAACCCTCCGCTTTAGCTCCTCAACACGACGCCGCTCATTTTCAATTACAAGGGTCCCTGTGTAGAGGAAAAATTCAAAATGTTACAAGACTCTTAAATACATCATATGAGACAGGACTTAAAAGAATTCTCAATCTTGTTGGTCTTGGTTATAGTAACAGCTCTCATGAGTAAGTTGCTGTAGAAGCTTGATTAAGTTTCATCATTCCTAGGGCCAACTAATAAAAAGTCAATACTGTAATATTTTCTGGTATTACTTACCTGTACTTCCAAATGGGTTTGTGATAAGAATTTAAAGTGCATTAACTTTATATATTATGTGATACTTTACACGAGGAAGATAGTCTCTCCTCACCTTGCTTGGCTAAGAGGAGTTGCCGATTCCGCTCTATTTCCATTAAAGTTGCTGAAGTCTTACGTCCTAATGAACCATCAGGACATCCAAGTGGAGTTGATGATGTAACCTGAATAAAAGAAAAGACCTACTTTTAAGGGCATTCAGTATAAATATGTATTACCAATAGATTCTGAAGACATTAAATGGTGATATACAACAAGTTGGTATACAATAAAAGGAAAATCTAACACTTTGTGTAGGTTTGGTTGTTATACAGTTTTAGCAATTACTGTATCAACTGCTTGTATTGTGAGAAATAAAAATCTAAGACAAAAGAACATCAGGGAAACCAAACATGGAGGACAAAGACAATGGAGAAAGCATGAAAGCAGGAATTTCTAATTAGCAAGTACTGGAATAAAAAATATTGGTATCTATAAAAAAAAAAAAACTAAAAATTTCTCAAATTCCTGAGAGATTTATGAAATGTGTTGAAAGGCATGTTTAAATTTCCGTACTTGTATAACTACATCAACATATAAGCTAAATGTGTGCATGTATTCCTGTCCAAACCAGTATTTTCTGGAATATTTGCAGTGTGTTTTATTACTTACAAAAATACATTAGCAAGAAGAGTGTTGCATGTATAAGTATAGGAGCAGCAGGGAAAACTCTGGAAACTCAAATCTATTACCAATCCTGCAATTCCTCCTCTATATACTAAAATATCATATAAATAACACCTAGACATAATTGACCTGATTTACAGTCACAATCATATGTTAAAATTCAAGCAATGTCTTTATGAAAACAATGAAAACTAAACTTGGAACCTATAATGCCTTTTCAGTAAATTTACTCTTAATATATGGACAACTGGTTACCTAAGGTTGTTGGGAATATATACAGTTTATTTTACCTGATGTATTCGATCAAGATCTTCTTGTGATCGGTCAAGCAAGTGCAAGCGTGATAAACGTTCAACCAACTCTGGGGCACCACTCTGAATGATACAAGGTTAAAAACATAGATATATACATCTCTTGTAAATTATGAAAGCAGAACATGAGAAGTAAATCACCTGGTAAAGAAAAGACTCCTAGATATTATTTCTTTTTCTTGACCAGCTGCACTTCATTACATGGCTCAAGTCCATGTGCTCACCAAGACATCAGTTTACCACCCAGGAGACCTTGACAATAGCATCTGAGATTAATCATACCAATTATGTATCCCCTCCTATAGTAATTATAGCCCTAAAGGGGGGGCATTTGGTTGCTATGGAAACATACAGTGTTCAGCTATGTGCTGTCAGGGAAGAGCTGTTTGAGATAGGCCCTTCCAGCCATGTTAGTTCCTTGTACAATGTTTGTATTGAGAGTCTCCTGGTAGGACAGGAAGAGTGTTTCTCCATCTCTTCCTGGATTCATTCAGTCCACTGTATGGCTAGTATCTGGCGTGTATTTTCCCATTAGCTGTTGAAAGTTTTAAAACCACCTCCTCTCACTTTATATTGATTTCAGATGCTCAAGTCATCCAATGAAGGTTGATGGAATGTAATTGAAAGACTGATCCTGAAATCTCACTCTGTGGCCAAGCTCAGAACTAGGCAGCTCCAAACCCTTCCTCCCACCATTGATTAGTGTGAAAATCTGGCAGAAATGAATGGGGATTGAAGCTTAAAAGACCTGTATAAACCAACCCAGACGATAGTGTAAATGCTCACCTGACCACCTCCCTCTACTATCTGTATGGGAAAATTGTGGCTATTAGGAAGGTTTACTAATCATTTGAACTGGTTCCATAGACTAATGTCAGGGTCTCCTAAGTCCTAGACCAGCAGCTTAGTGAGGACATATACTTCTTTCTTGAACATACAATGTATACCTGATACAAAGTTCCTTCAAACTGCAGCACAACATACCATTAGAGAACTTGTACATCTTTTAACGCAAAAAAAACCACACACAAGCAAGTATTTTACAAACCCCTTGAAAACTTCACATAAAAAGCTAGTGCAAAAAATAACAGGCAACAAGAAGTATGACAATGAAACCACAAAATAACTGACACACACACAATCTTGTATGAAACATTTTAATTTAAAGCTAGTTGATATGTTGCCCTATTTATCAGAAACCTAATTGTAACAGAATGTGATTAATGTACAAGTACTGTATATGTAAAAAAAAAAAAAAAATCTCTCAAAATCCTTCTTTATATTCAAAAGGAGAATGTCAACAAACAATCACAACTGTTCAAATTAAAGTAAAACCACTTAAATGAGTTCAATACCAAATTTTATAACAGTTAACACAAAGGGCCGGCTGGTGTAAATAATGTATGCACACAAACATAATGTACACTCAGCAAAAAAAGTCCTGTCAGTCCTCTCTCCCATCCATGAACCCTGTGAATCGAAACAACACACACAGTTCCACTATGGGTGTTGTTTTGGATTCAGGGAGACATGATCCACGGGGTTCATGGATTGGAGAGAGGACCGACAGGACTTTTTTTGGTGGGTGTACATCCTTTGGTGTTGTTTTTGGGGGGGTTAAGATTTTGTCTAGAGTTGCTCACATTACTTCAGCCATTGTAAAACTCTAATTTGTTCCTCAAACCATAGCAGAACTATTGTTGGTCAGGAGGGAAAACACTCTTTAGATCTGTGATGTTTAACTTGTTTAATGTAGAATTAAATTTGCATGCCACTTGGGCAGCAGGTAATGATTATTTACTTGCCCTGTGCAATGGGATAGTGGTTAACATCTAACATTGTATAATATCTGATATGGTTGCTCACTTTCACATTAATCATAGTGCAGTAGTTAAAAGTATAAACTAATTGTAAAGTTAAATCACTGGAACATACTGTACATCTTAATACTGTACTGTACTATCTTTTATAGGGTTTTCCAGAGAATAGCTAACACTACAGTAGTTAGTAATGCACAACAATACAAGTTTCCCACCAGTGCTTCCCCCTCTACATCCCCAATAAAGACTCTGAATAGCAGCTATATATCCTTTTTTATTAAATCATTAAAAATAAATTAACTTAACATCTCTGTACTTTAGTTCTTTTCACTCAAACCAAATACTGTAGTGACCACAGTAATGCTGTTGACAGGGAAATGGGTGGGAGGATGGAGGATCAAACTCAGTCTCTCTCAAGTTTCACTGGCAGGAAACTAACAATGTGCATTATATTTTTAAAAGCTTTCTTATTGAATTTGAAAAAACCTTATTCAAAATCATGATGAACTACATAACAATGAAGGGAACTCGCCAAACTTGACTTGTATAAGAGTACTGTTCAGTACTATAAAAATCTTTTATTGCCAATGAATTGCATAGAAAGAAATTAATAAAAGTTATAAAAAATATTAATACTGTATTAACCATATTACTGTAATTTGAAAAGCTGTGTGTTCCTCTATCTTATAAATATCACTCCAGCCCCACACCATGAGCAAGCAAATAGAGGTATACCTCCTCTGTGTCAGATGAGCAAGCAGGTGAGCACTGGCCATTGGTGGGTATGATACCTAAGCGAACCAGTTCCCCTAGACGACGTTCTGCAACCGTCAAACGTCCTCGCTCCTGCAACCCAACACCGGCTTAGCAAATCAGCGATGCTTAGCAATGCACAGCAAGAAATAGCACACCAGAGAAAGATTAGTTATTTTACCACCATTATTAACTGAGAAACTTCACACCAGAAATGCTTGGAACAGTGGTAAAAGAATATTAAGAAATGTGGAGCCATATTGGTTGAATGGTTAACATTATTCAAGCACTGACACACTGCAAATACATAAAATTAATACAGTACTCCTAAAAGGAGAGACATGTCAAACTTTTTTCTTTTATGTCTCTGGACCTTTAACACCCTAAGTAATGTATACTGTACTGTAGCTTGTGTCTCCATACCTGGTTAACATCACTTAAGTATTTAAAAATATTATTATTATTATTGTTATTACAGGGTACTATTACACCTTTTCACACATCCGTTAAGACATTGTTACATAACTATTTGACAAATTTCATAACCGACTGAGAGAACACATATCGAATGACAATCTAAAATAACTGTTCGTTCATGCTAACGGAAGTGATTGACATAAGTTATGAAGTTGACAGACGTGAACAATAAACCGACAGTCTACATATAGTTTGAGAATGTAACAATTGGAGAATGACATACCACCAACAGTTATTTGAGATTGTCATTCGATATGTGTTGTCATTCGGTTATGAAATTTGTAAAATAGTTATGTAACAATGTCTCAACTGATATGTGAAAAGGTGTATTATTATTATTATTATTATGATTATTATTATTATTATTATTATTATTATTATTATTATTATTATTAATATTACTATTATTGTATTGAATATGTTAGTTCTTGAAACATTGCTAGTGAGGTTAGGAAACCCAAACTTGCAGTTAAAATTTTAATTAACATTTATAGTACTGTACTGTATTTAGTTAAAATAAAAACGTGCACTCCATAAGTAAAAAGACTGCAGTAAACCCTTGTCTTATTAGTGGTTACATTACTGAAGGGGTCAGGTACCTGCAAAAATCATGCAACTGAATATATATTAGGTAATGGGAAAATATAGTTAAGTAGGCATTGGGTACCACTGGAGAAATCCATTTTCTCACGCACACACGCACGCACGCACGCACGCACGCACATGCACACACGCGCACACACACACACACACACATATTATCTTCAAACAATAAAAAGCCCCCTGAGCAATATTACATGACTTCACCTCACAGCTCTTCACCATATGACCACAACTTATACGCCTACACCACTTGCCATTTATCTATCAGGCCATCTCCCCACCCCTTGTTCCATCACATTTCAGGTCTAACATAGCCCACTGTACAGAGAATCACACTTGGCTGCCTTGGCTAGACCACATTTGTGTGGAAAAAGCCGTGTAGAGAACACTAGTATATCCAATTTGTGTCTTTAGATAGTGTGTATTTATGAGAGTTTACTGTCTTATCTATTGGTTTTCTACCTAAAACCGTAAATTTAAAGTTGTAAGCTTATTTCGAGGAAAATTATTATAACTAGTATTACAAACCTGCCTGGTCTGTACTCTTGGTTAAGTCTGCAACAAACCTATTAACCTATTACACAGGATCATGAATATTTATATCTTGTCATCACATTAAAAATGTTCTTCCCTTTTACTCTGTACATCAACATTTGACTCTAAAACTGAAATAGTCCTATGTAGAGAAGCTCTGTCCAGAAATATTACCCAATATTTCATTAAAATTTTAACAAAAATTTTTTTTCCTGATATGATGATGTATGGCCAAAAAGGCAGTGATCTCCAGATTATAATAAACATTGCAAAGCTAGAGGGTTACCTAACACTCTTGGCAGGATACTAGTCCTCTGAAGAGTTGCTTCAGCATCAGCAACCAGACCCAACAATGTACACATTTGTTTCCAAGTGTACATGGAGGGAGCCTAATCCCTCACTCCTATCAGAAATCATAACCATTCACTTGTGAGAGAAATTATTTACCAATTGAGCTGTTTGTATGATAAATCAGTTTATACCAGATATCTTAAAAAATTTAATACATGATCATACATTTATAAAGTAAGCTTCTTTGCTTACATATCATACACATTAACTGAGCATCAAACAGCAAAATCTTAATAGAAAAACCTTGCAACTTGAAAACTAATTAAGGAATTATGTCTATACAGTAAAAGTCCAAAAATCCGGATGCCAGAAATCCGGACCACCCGAGAATCGGGCTTTTCGAAAACTTTCAAACTTTTTAAATTTAGCGGGCTTTTGTGGGTTACGTGAATGAATGGCGTTCCTTTAAAAAAATTAATTTACATAATTCTAATAATAAAAGTAATTGTAAATTATAGGTAGCTAATTTTGTTAGTTTTGTAATTAGCTTGTCCTCAAATGTAAAATTTGTGGCACTATAAATCTTCTGTGTGTATGTGTGCATGCCTGAACGCCACAGCGACAACAAGCGACCACGCGATCACCACTTTAAAACAAGCAATGAAACTGTGACAACATATGTAATTTTGAGTCCTACTCTTTCCTTGTACAGAGTACAAGCCCATAATAATGGCTCTTAAAGTAGATAAACTTCGTTGTGTGAAGAGAAAGAAGAACACATTGAAATTGAGTGACAAACTTGAAATAATTAAGAAACTAGAACGTGGTGTGAGCAATACTGATCTAATGGAAACATGTGACATTGGAAAGTCTACAATTTATGATATAAAAAAGGCAAAGAATGAAATTCTAGAACTCACAGCTTCTTCTGAGCCTTACAATAAAATTGCTTTAAGAAAAATTTTACATTGGCCCAAATTAGAAAATCTTAATAAAGTGTTGCACAAATGGTTTTTGTTAAAATGATCAGAAGGTATGGCAATTTATGGGCTGATGCTTATTGCCAAAGCAAAGTCTTTTAAGGAGCAAATAAACATTGAATCAGAGTGAGCATTTAGTGATGGATGGCTTAGGAATTTCAAGACTCATCATGGTATTAGACAGTTTGTTTACATTTTTGTCAAGTGTTGACTTTATTTTTCTTTAAAACTGCTCATTTTGATAAATGAAGCATGCTTTACTTGCTTATGAATAAACTATCAAAATGTATCTGTTCATCTCTTCTTTATTCCTCCTTAAATTTGAATTTTAAAAGTACTGCCTGAGAATCCGGAAAATCCGAAAATCCGGACCGACCCAATCCCCAAGCAGTCCGGATTTTTGGACTTCTACTGTATAATGTTTCCTGAATGGTAAATGGAGGGAAATTCATCATCTTTTCTAGGGTGTGACACAACACTAAAACAGTAAAGGCCTCCCCGGGTTACGGCCCCAAAAATGCGTCACGAGCACATAGATGTATAAAATTAGATGGTTTTAACCACATACAATGAGTCATTAATGATGTAACATGTAATAAATTTGCAAAACACTCAAATTTTAGTTACCGGAAACAATGCTGAGTGCTGGGGGAAGTGGTGAAGCGAGATGATGCGATGGGAGTTACTGGGAGCTACCTCCTTAAAACATCATATTTATTGTCCAACGTAATTCCTTTATGGAATCTTTTATCACCAATTCTTTCACTTCAACTTGGTGGTCTTTTCCCACTCATCTTGAATAAAGGTACACAATAACACACACACATAACTGAACACAAACTGGGGAAAGAATTCAAACCGAGCAGTGCCACTGTTGGCGTGGCTGCTGGGGAGGCGAGTCGTCCTCCAACCCTCTTACAGCTACCACAGAGAATCTACACCATATAAATACTATTTGGGTAAAATTTGGGGTTAAAAATAATAATTTTTTTTTTTTACCCAAATTCTGTAAGGGCAGTTTTTTGTCCGTATCCGGAATTTTTTGGTCATAATTTAAAAATTACATATGGGCGAAATTCCGTAACCAGGGATTCCGTGACGCGAAGGATGACTGTATTATATACCATTCAGTGCAAAGACTCATGTGTTGCTAAGATAAAGCATATCAATTGAGTGAAATGATAGAGAATGAATAATAAACCAGCTTATGTAAACTGAACTCGAATACAGTAACATAACCAAATGAAACTGCCGAGGTAATGCAGTTACAGAGATAGTGTATAAAAAAAATAACAGTCTCTTTTTTTACAGTGTAGTGACCAAGAACACATGTGGCCAGCAATTTATTACCTGATTAAAGTTTCCCCATCACATTCTCTGTTATCTTTTCAGGCACTCCTACATTAGATCAAAAACTCTTATGAAATATGAACTGGTATCTTTAATCACTTCTCAAAAGCAAGGTTTGTCAAAATAATCAGCCACACACAGATAAGTGCAAACACAGGAAGAGCTCTTAACACTTAAACAGCAGACATTAATGGTGGATGTTTACTGTAGGGGTGGCGGCCATCATCTATGGAAGTTTCACATTCCTTCAATTTCATTTTTGCACATGTGGGGAGGAGTGGGAAATTTTTAGCTACCAATTAATAATACAGTACAGTTTTTTTTTCATAACAACCCACTCCACACTGCAGCCATTATGCCACAATCAAATTTTCATACAAACCATTAAAATATAAAAGGGGTTCACCTTTGTAATCTTGGAGAGGAGATCTTGCCGCTCTTTCTCTAGGATTTCTGTTTCCTCCCTGACAGAGATGGTCATTTCTAACATGTGTCCCTCTAGCTCAGTGATCTTTTCTCGCCGGTTTGTCAATTTTTCTCTTAGCTCAGCAATCTGGACAAATAATACAAAACAATTACTTCTATAACTGTTTTCAAATTATTAAATATATAAAATTCACATCAACCTGGGAAATGTAGAATAATTGAGTTGAGATCATGCTGGATAATACGAGGACTGGGTCACTCTCCTTATGCCCCTCTGCCACTGCCCGAAACCATGAAGTATTTATAAACTGAGGTTCATGAGTACAGTATATTTTCTATCATACAGTATATTACTTTTGAAGAATTATACAATTAAAATATTCTATGAATTACCTTGAGGTTTAACAGATTTAAAGAGTTATATCCAGAAAATCTGATGAGTAGTGAAGTATGTACTGTACTGTACTGTACTGTATGTACTGTATTTTAATAAAACTTTCAAAAAGAAAAGTGAATGGAACTGTAAACAGATTATAATCCCATTTAAAACTTAAGACATTCTTTTTAGCCTCCCAGTCTTGAAGGATGAGACCATCTATAACTAATAATTAAGTAATCTTTCATCACCTCCTTATTGAGCTCCTCCCTCTCTGCCTCACGGTGTGCCTCAGCCTCCATCTGGTGAAACTCTGTGTCTTCAAATACCTGAAATATAGAAGATTTTGTACTGAAGACAATTTCGAGCAGTAGATTAACAAAGTGACTTAAAACAGCTATGTTATATATGTATACTGTATATATTTGTATAAGCAGATCCCCCCACAAAAATAAAAATAAATAAAATGAAACAATAATAATAATTCTTATCTACTTTAACTATAAAGGTACTTCCTTCAAATTTTCCATGACAGTACTGCTTGGTAGTTTCCCTCTAATATTATGAAACTTTCTTTTAATCTCACTCTCCTGTGTTTTGTTATGTTATTTTGTATATACAGTATTGCCAAGGTGCCCATTAATATACTGAATCTATATATTTGTATTTGCTTTGAGGATGATTGTTGCACTTGATGAATGTTGGAATTTTGAAGAAGAAAATATATACGGCTTTTGACAAGTAGTAAAATGCTTGCAACGGGGAGTTAATAAGAATGAGTTCTGGAATATATAAGGTATCTTGATATTGAGAATGAGGAAACCATGATGGGTTTATATAAAGAATATAGGAAATGACAGAAGCAGCAGTAGTATGAATGAATGGTTCAGGATATTAAATGAGTATAACTTTACTAAGGTTGTAAAATATAGTATTTTTATCAAGCGAGTACAGAGGGAGGTCATGGCTGGTAGCATAAACAAACAAGTGACACTAAAAGAGGTAAGAGCGAAAGAGAGGAATAATGATGATGATGTTACTGCTTATGGGTGTGATGAGGTATGTGGATGATAATGTTATGATAGTGATGACAGTGTATGCCACTGTCTTTAGGGATGATATAATAGAAAAGCTGGAAGAGATTGAGAGTAAATTTGAGAGCACATTTAAGAAATATTCATGATAATAAAAATATTCATGATAAAACTAGTTTGGCTAGGTGTAAGAGACAGGACAGGCAAAAAGATAATATATTTAAAAGGTGAGAAATTGGAGAATGTCTTGTCGATAAAATATCTTGGGAGTACAGGACTTGAAATGAAGATGGAACAATGACTGCAGAGTTATTGGACAGATCTGAAATATAAGACATGTGACAAGTGTCCTAAAGAGTGACGAGTGGAAGAATGCAAGTCCAAAAAAGGATTGACAAAAAAACAAGCTTTTTCATGAAGAACCCAGCCCACACAAGATTTCTAGGCCTATTTTCCAATGCTAATCTTAGTTTGGAAGTGTATAAGTCTCTTACTAGCAAGTAAATCACTAATATGTAAGAGTATAATGAATAGCAAGAAAGACAGATTTTCTGGGGATTACATGACTAGAGAAGAGCCCCACCTACCATGGATTATAGGAAGGGAAGCAACAGTGAGCAAAGCTTTGATAATGTAAGAAGACCAACAAAGGAGATTATAGCAGAAATGTATGAGGGCCCTGTGTGTAGCTGAGGGCCCTGTGTGTAGCTGAGGGCCCTGTGTGTAGCTTGTCAAGGGAGAAGAAATTGACTGAATTAGTTTTGAAGTCAAGAAGAAAATGTCAGCAACAAATGGAATACTGTACTGGGTAAGTATTAAATAACATAATGAAAATGGAAGCTGATACAATGAAGAATCTAATTTTTAGGGGGTGAGAAGAATGCAGTTGAGCATGTGAGTGAAGCAGAGAGATAAGGAAGAGGTAGATCAAAGATATGGGCAACAGATGAAGTGAAGGAGTGTATGAGTAAGAGGGTGTGGGTATGGGAAAGGAAGAGGGTGTGGGTATGAAAGAGGAAGAGGGTGTGGGAAAGGATGAGGGAGGAAGGGGGTGTGGATATGAGGGAGTAAGAGGGTGTGGGTATGAAAGAGTAAGTAGTGTCAAGCATGGAGGGTAGGAGTGATTGGAGCAGGCACTTTTAATAGTACTGGAAGATGTTGTAACAGTTACAGAAAGATACATGATAACCCTAAACTCAATCAAGTGACAACAACCACCGATGACCTACTGTAAAGTTCTGCTTACTGTTTACAACTCCATAAGAGCTCATGGAAATCACATAGTAAAAAGAACTGGTGTGTTTATCTCTACACTGCACACTATGTCATAATAGAGCCACTGACACACAAGCAGATAGTGACAACTCAGTCAGTGTTTGGTTTATGATCCCCATACATGTAAACACTCCAGTCAAGTGCAGTTAATAAATGCTACTGTCTTTGGTATTCAAAAAATGGATTGTTTTCAACAAGACAACTTTTTACTCTTGAACAAATTTAGTCCTTCACTTCTCATGATGATATTAATGAAAGAATAAAAAATTAATAAATAAGAGATTTTAGCTTATATACTGTACATCAAAGACCAGACACATTCACTCTGTACCAAAGTATCTGCAATGGTTATATACACTAGTGAAAAAACTAAAAATAATTTATATTTGCAAAAAAGATGACAAATATAATGTGAATACAGTCCACACAAACACACACTGTGCTAGAGTGACCCACCATGGTGAACACTGTGAAAAATTGGTTTTAGTTCTACTAATTCCTAATTTTACCATAATTAGTCTTTAGCAAAAGCACACATAACATCTCCTACATCAAAAACCTCACTCTCTTTAAAAAGCTTTATAAAGCAAAGCTAAGTGTGTTATGAAAAAGTACACATATGTAGCATGAAACGTGAACAGACCTTCATAGGAATGCATATGGATTTTTTAAATACATACATCTCAATTTTCAAGTCCAAAAAAATCTTGTGAAAAAGTATCGACTAATTATAATGATATATGAATTACAAAAAGAGATATTGTGCTAGGCCATTTCTAGGTAAGACATGCTACATACACTCCACTATATGAAGTCCCCAACTATAAGGCAGATTTGGGAGATTATACAAAATGTGCTTCTTTTTAATGAGACATGTTGGTATAATTGTGTGAAGTTTGTATGTTCACACAGAAACAAACAACACCCACCATGCTCTACACAAGTGACAACTTACTTTCTTGGCTTTCTTCCACCGAATATAGTAAAAGAAAAACTGCAAGCAAAGTTGGATACAATTAGAATAGCCAAAAATGCATGTGGTTCAGGTAATATGAAAACTTTGTTATTACCATTGTCAATATCTATTTTAAACCCCAGTACAGTATGACTCAACAAAGAGTACATACAGTACAGCATTCCATAAAATGTATTGACAAAAATTTTTCGAGATTGTATATAACTATGATACCAATTTGATTGTAAACAAACATTACAGTATATTCATATTTTTCTTAGATACTTTTTATTTACTCTTTTTTTGGTACACAGTATTTATGAAGAAGTATAATTCTCTTGATACAAGTAATAATTGGTATGTATTATTATGTTTGGATGTGTCTGTTTCTCACTCTTTTTGTGTGTGTGTGTGTGTGTGTGTGTGTGTGTGTGTGTGTAATATTTCAATGATACATATGCATTCCATTACAAAGGTATTAGTGAATGTTTGTTAATCCATCTTCAGAGTACAGTACAGTACCTAGAAGTTAAGTCCCTCATTCAAAGATGGGCAGCACTAGCAGAATTTTTCAAAGTTTTAGGCTATTGATTATCTCAACACACTTATTCTGTGGGTGCCTGATATACTGTATTTACTGACGAATTCTGCACTAAAATGGTAAACATACCATTTTCTGTGTCCCATATTTGACAAAGGCCACTCTGAACCTTCTTTTTTATAACACAAACCTTTGTATGTTTCATGCACTTTTTTTATGCAAAAACAATAACAATTTTGATTTGGAGAAGACATAATGCCTTATCAGTTACACAGTACAGAAGAGGCTCATAATACTGTATAGTTATATGAAATATATTTCCTGGCCCACTTTTTTCTTTTTTAGGGGGTAAGAGTTTCTAGAAAAAATATCTTTCCCTCACAAAGATTGTACATGTTAATTTCAGGAATGATTCTACTGTATTTGGTAAAGTGAAAAATATTTCAGGTAATAAATTTCTCAACAGATCACCTGGTGAACAAATTCAGAATATTTTTTATCATATGGTTTCCAAACAATGTCATACAATTACTAAATTGTGTAACTTTCCTACTCTATCAAACTGGAAAACTGTGTAAATTGACATTAATGAAGGAAAAAGAAGAAAATCCTACAGAATTTCCATTCCCTATTTCATAATAAATTACATTAAGTGAGGTAAAAAAAATCTTCCTATTTTACCTGTTACAAAAAATAAAATATATTGTGTATACAAGTAAGACCGACCTTTCTTTCAGCTTCTACTGCCTCATGCTGGGCCTTCAATGTCTCAAGCATCTCTGTTTCTTCATCAGTTGTGCCATTAAAGTTCTCACTCTTTCCTTCCAACTGATCCAGCTCCCTCTCTGCTTCTTCCAGACGAGATCGACATGCCTGATGATAGTTACATCCAAGAGGACAGGTTAAGATGTTGTTTTTACCAATGTAAGCAATAATTACAGACTTAAATACAATATTGCACAGTACCGTACTATACTTTTACTAATGTATATAATACCCCTGTATCTGATATGAAAGATTATTACTGTACTTTTATCAATGAAATGGAAAATGTTTGAACCTCTATGATGTTCAGGATACAATAAAGCTTGAGAAGAATCAGGAAATAACTCCACCCAGTTTTTCTCCAACACTCATCACATGTTTACAGCTCACCTCAATGGCTTCCTGATGGTGTTGCCTTTCTTGCTGGCAACGTTCTTCTATTTCATTACTCCTTTGTAAGAGTCCTGCCAGTCGTTCCTCTTCCATCACTGCCTTCTCTCTGAGGGGAACCAACTCCCCTTCTAACAATGCTCTTTCAACTTCCAGCTGTAAAAAGGAATGAAGTACAATATTACACCAAAAGAAGCCTTATAATTATGTATATAAGTTTGATAGATCTATATAATAATAATGATACTGCAATACTGTATACTGCATACAAAATTTCTCCCAAAAATTGTAAGCAAACTACCAGAACATAAAGAATGGCTCACACTGCCAAAGAGAGCGTATTCAAGCAAGTTTCCCTATCTTTATCAAATCCCAAGCTCCTCTGATTTCTTTTCCCTCCTTAACTTTTTTCTCATTCTCTAATGACTAAATGACAATTTTCTTTTTTTACAGTACAGGGGGTTACAAACGGGTTTCGTTCCTGAGGACATTCTTAAGTCAGAAATGTATGTAAGTCGAAACACATGAAAGGTACAAACCGTACTTACAGAACAATGTTTAAAATCCCACTATATCATAGCCGGAGTCCTTACATACATCTAAAATCACTTGATTTAAGACAAAAGAAGTAGAATGGCAAAATACAATCATTGAAATTCAAAAATAAGTCATCAGGTAAATAAAATGCTGCAAATTTAAAATTTTACTGTTCGTATCAGTGACGTTCATAAGTCGGGAACCCCCTGTACTGTACTATACTGATCCTGAGTCCATAAAACCACTCAGGTCTTCCAGTTAATTTTATTCCATCCAACAATATATTGGGACACCTCTAAAATTACACCCATGAGGATTACTTTAACTCTCCCTTACTCTTTTAAAATCCTCCTCCGGCATATTTCAGTAAATAGCTTACCGTACCTTTCTGGCAGACTCACTTTTTGATGAAGTTACATAACTTTATCTGCAAATAACTGAGGTATTCCAGTATGTATTATCATGATAAAATAATACACCCTATACAAAGCATTATTCCATTTTCTTGCTGTTCATCATTTTAATCTATCATGCTGCTCACCATTTTAGTTTACCATGCTGTTCAATACTTTAGTCAACCATGCTGTTCATCACTTTAACTCTACAGTACTATGCTCTTCAAAAATATATATATATATATATATATATATATATATATATATATATATATATATATATATATATATATATATATATATATATATATATATATATATATATATATATAATCAACAACCTGTTCACTGCTGTGACTAGCCCCTAGTCACACCCAGTAGAGTGCTATGTTCAAAGTCTGTTATATGGACTAAAAATGAAGATATATATATATATATATATATATATATATATATATATATATATATATATATATATATATATATATATATATATATATATATATATATATATATATATATATATATATATATATATATATATATATATATATATATATATATATAATGAGGGCTTACTGTACTATTATATACAACACAAACCAATTAGGCCTTAATTAATATAAAAATAAGCTAAGATCATTAGGTTAGGTTTGGTTGATTAAACAGGGTAGGTAGCGTCACTTATTATGTACTGTAGTGCAATAATAAATCATCTATGTCCACAGCCTGCAACCACTGGCAGTTTTTGTTAATTCATGCATATTTCAGTACATTATTTCCACTTCAGAAAGGCAACCCAAGAGAACACAGATAACTTTGGAAAGAGATATATTTTCTTTATTGACGCATCATCAGAGAAACACCGAGACACAAAATTAGTCTTCAAAAAGAGACTACGCATCTGCACTTAGCAAATATTCATAGTCATTAATCATCAAAATGTTCAGGGGTCAACCTCATTTATTCCTCAACAAACTGTCCTTTCTCCCATCACTCACACTGGTACATGAAGATAGAAACCATAACTAATATAGACTCATACAGGCCATATTAGATACAGTACAGAATAGGCTAATAGAACAGTTATGTCAGTCAAGCAGAATCAAGTTACAGTACTTAATGTCAATTTTAATTTACCAAACTCAAGCAAACTTTTTAATCACAAAAATTGATACTGGTCTCAATTGTTCAAACTATATTGTTATCCTTAATTCATTCAAAACACTAAGTCAGTTACAGCAGCCATACTGAACATTTACTAAATTCAATACTGAAAGAGGAAGATCAATTAATTTTGGTTTTATGTTTCATGAAGATTGCCTTTTTTCACACTAAATGTTACATGGCATGGTGTATGCAGAACTTGCCAGTTTGAGGTTAAATTTATAGCAGAAATACTTCTTCCCTTAGAAATTAGTTCAGAAAAAAAAATGTTTTTTACATAAACCACAGCTGTACTGCACTTCCAAAACATGCAAAATTAACTCACAGTTAGGTTAGGTTATAGACAACATGTGAAGTGTGCACGACCAAAGTGGAGAAAACGCTAGACAAAAAAATGGAGACCTCTGGCACTTTCCTCTCTGTGATCTGCCTCCCACCAGCCCCACACATACAGTAGTGACACGTGGGTAGTTTTACTTAATAGCAAAATTGACCACAATGCCACTTTCATTCTGAGTAACCAAGTCTCTTCATTTTGACCACAGTGGCCCTTTGTCCACTCTGGTCATATGCACCTCAAACGCAGTCAGTAAAATAAGTATCAACCAACGGACGCAGGTAACCACCGGTATAAGTTTACAGTTTTCTCAAAATGTTTCATATTGTTACAAGTGGCAGGATGGTCGATACCCTTTCAGTGACTGTACATCATAAGTCAGATTGTCACATCATTATGACTAAACAGAAATAAACTCATGGGAAAGAATAGTTACTGAAGAGAAGCAGTTTACCTCATAAGGCCTGGAAGTTCAAAGTATAGTACAACCATGAGTAAAACCCTAAATGTGTTACCTCTCTTAGCGACTCATCTTCAGTCATCTCTAGTTCGGTGACACTGCGTTTGAGATCTGTCACAGACTGTAGAGCTTCATTCTTGACACCCCTTAGACGCTCAATCTCCCCTGGCACGTCCTGTTGTAAGGGGAGTGACAGAAGGCAATTTGGACCTTTAGTAAATGCTTAGCTCTTTATGCATAACTAAACACTGTGACTGTTTAAATGATGAAACTCCAGTTTAAAAAATTCATCAGGCAAATTTTATTTAGATATCATGCAAATATGTATCTGACCAGGTACTGTACACCTTTACACTGCATGCATGAATATATTCTTTTAATACTTTCCAAAACATTTTCATCTATACTTCTAACATTCTGGAAAAATGTGGCTTTACTAGTAAACATTCTATATAAATTTAATCTAAATATATACAATCTAACTGCAAGTGCAATATTCCACATTCAGAATGCATCAAAACACTTAGCTGTCAACAAAGTTATGAAATATCTAATAACCAGGACTGGATAAACTTACATCAATATTAAATGTATCCTGAATATTTTTCATGAGATGTTCCTCAAACACCCGATTGGACCCTCTTACAAAATCATCAACAGACACTTCAGTTCCTTCAGTACCTGAGGAATTTCTGACTAACTTATCTTCTGGACTAGTAAACACACAAGAGTTTGGTGAATGGTCCATTATGTTCTTTGTTAATGAGCTACTCAGATTGTTTTGCACCAAACTTTGACTGTTTTCATATATATTTGTTGTTTCATCAGTACTTGTTGACATCACTTCACTATGAATGGAACTAACGTGACTGGCTATTGTAGAATCCTCTCCATTTGAACTGACTTGAGGAGAGGATAAAGAATGGTTTGGATCACTGTTCATTCTGTTGACTGTTGGAGAATCCCCTAAAACCGATCTCTCTATTCTTGGAGACCTCGGAGGTTTTGGAGGGGCTGGCACTTCAAGAGAACTTGAAGAATCAGATCGTGAATAAGGACTTAGATTCTCTTTGTTTTTTGTATTTTCCTTTGGTGTTCTAGGACTTCGGTTTTTCTTTCCATCGCTCACTCCTGCCTGGAATTCAGATATAGCCATTCTATTTTCTATGATTTCACAATTATCCCTCCTGTCTGTTCTCTCCTTGCCCACGATGGTTTTGATTCGAGTTCTTGGGCTCTGTGGCATGGGGTACGTGAGGTACGATGGGCTAACATTTTCATACGGACTCTTCGGACTGCTTGGGCTTGGTGAGTGAGATGGCGCTTGTAAGGGAGCTGGGTTTGGGAATGGTGGATAACTTGGTAATGTCCCACTTCTGAAATACAGTATTCAAAAAGTAATGAAGAACAAAGTAAGTTGACTGCAACTGAGACATATGTTTGTAAAGTTACATAGTACAGTATACAAATGAAAGGTGGCATCAACATATTATGGTAAAAAATATTACTCTGAAAATATAGAAGTCAGAGACACAGCCTAAGACTTTTTTAGCCCATCCTTCACTCATTCTTTTAGTAAAGAGACTGTGAATCTATAAACAGAAGAAGTATAAGATTCACATGTTTGTGAAAACACAGATAAATTTCTTTAATAAAGGACTATGTAAATTGCTGGCTCTATCTTTCTCTCTCTATCTAAAAAAATATATTTTGTAAGCAGAGAAAAGTAATAACAATTTCTTTCAAATCCATTTATCTTCAGATGACTTAGGGACTGATTCTGAAATCTTTGTTTCCAACCAAACTGGGCTCAGGTGAGTCATATGCAGTCAGCAAGTCCATAGGGTGAAAACCATGTCCCTATGGATTTAAATCATGTAACTAAGGATAATAAATATATAGAAATGTTCTAAATTAATAAACCTTCCCAAACACACCCCTTCCCCCTTGAGGGAGAAGGTAGAGAGGGTTTGCTGCCACATAAACATGTGTGCTGGTTTGTTTGGTTTGGCTGAAAAATAAAAAGACTCGATCAACTGCTTCAATTCCAGCCCATTGAGCCACCACAATGAAAGGTGGTAGGGAATGTGCCAGAGGTGACTGGGACCAATTAAACAAGTAAATTACTCTCCATAGAATACTGTTCTCTATGCATAACTTTACAGGATTTTTAGTTATTGGTGAGCTAACCTTGTTATGGGCTTAAAGACCTTATAGTTGTTGAAGCACAATAATAACATTATAATGTCAACATATTGGTTTGCAATAATATACTATGCCCACCAGTCCACAACCCTACCCTTAAGGTGCTACTGTTCCAAAACACAAACAGATGAGCCAATGACAATGATTCTTCTTTCTAACTGAATAACAACTACTGTACTACAGTACATTGCACAGTACTGTACTGACCCTTTACATACATATCCGTATCTTTGAACAAAAACTCTTCATTCACATTCCACAAGAAAATCCTTTTCCAATACCCTACAGTAAATTCTTGTTACCTATTATTCCACCACAAAAGCAATGCTTCCTGTGCTATGAAGAAACTCACCCTAACACATTGTCTCTTCTATACTGTCAACAATCGCACTATCTAGTTCATCACTTGATAATCCTTCCCATCTCCTGTATCATTTACTCTCTTCCTCCCATTGCTCCTGCCAGCATGACACATCCTGCACCTGCACCAACCTTGTGAGTGAAGTAGTACGCTGGACTGGACTTGTTAGATCTGGCTGATCAAAACTGAATATAGCATTGAGTTCATCCTCAGAGGTGGTTGGTACCCTGAAGGTGGGACTGGTGATGGGTGAAGTCACTGTAGTGGGTGTGGTGGCTGATGTGGGTGTGGCTGACAATGGCGGGGGAGAGTTGGGCACACGCTTGTCCCTGGGTAGTGAGCCGTTTGTTTTAATTCTGAAATACAATATGAATATGAATATTCATGCACTTATATTTCACTTAGTATTCATTGCAGTACATCTTACTTGTAATGCTTCTTGATCAAGAGGGGAAAAAATCAAGTAAAGACATCACTAATAATGAACAAAATGTATTCTATAAACTTTAAAATATCTGAAATACATTAAACTTAAAAATCATCTCAGTACTGTACTGTCTTTGTGCCTAATACTATAGTGATATTTATATACAGTACTACTGTAATGTATTGTGCAGTCAACTAGACATAAAAAATCATATTAAGCATACACCAAAATATCAAGTTATAAATTCTGTTTAAAAACTTTTTATACCCTGTACAGTAAATTCATTAACAATACTGTACAGTATATACATACAGTATTTATTGTCTAAATATTGTATCATACAAATCTTCACATATCTGATAATTAAAATTAAGACGAACATACAGTACAGTATACTTGTTCATATAAAGAAACACTACAGTACAGTACATCAGAATAAACATGTTGGTTCAAAACCTCATCCAATAACCAGAAAGTGTAATAGAAGGTGTAAAGGATCTTATGAAGATAAGGGACTACCACTTATTTCGTCTGATGATTAAACACCTTACTGTTGAATGGAGGGTTGGGTTAGGTGAAATAAGTGGGGGTACCGAAACTTCATGAAATGCATTACAATAATAATAATAATAATAATAATAATAATAATAATAATAATAATAATAATAATAATAATAATAATAATAATAATAATAATAATAATAATAATAATAATAATAATAATAATAATAATAATAAAGGGACAGTAACTCATACAAAAAAGTAGAATGTTCAAATATGCCTGGACAAGTATTGGGCACACTAAGATGTCCTGCAAAGTTCCAGAGACATGGATATTATCAATGGTCCATCCGATTCAGTATGGATTATTAACCAGCAAGTGGATCTGGATATTAAAGGCCAAGTCTTAATACTCGAAGATAAAAAAATAAAAGAGTCGATAGTTCTTAGTGAAAAATAAATGGTGTGGCGCCAATGTACAGGAGTAGTTTCTGGGTGTTATAGCAAAGGTGGCGATAATGGCAATGTGAGAAAGGGATATAATTACTGAAGCATAGGACCAACCAAAAACATTAAGACAAAGGTATGTGCAATGAAGTGCTATTTTAAGTGTTATTCGTGTTCTGTGGATGACAATCATATGTATACAAACTTAATACTTGTTACGGCGCTCATTTTTTTTTAATCTCTTCTTTCCTGTGCGATGGAGGCGGTGTGTGGATTAGTGGATCCCACGTTATTGATCTAACCTGATGTTAAGTAAGGTCATTCATTGTATATAGCCTCTCTCAGTCCCTGTAAATTCAGTAGCCTCGGAAGATGTCTTGAATAAAGACGAAAGCTAAGGTGCTCCATTGTTTCCCTTTTCCTGTGTGGTTTTATTGAGTTATCTTGTCCACGTTTCCCTTGTGGATCTACATGATATATTACTTTGGTGAAGGGTATTAATGGTGCTAATGGGGAGGGTTTGGGTGGCAACAAGAAGGGAGGTCGGGTAGGTGGCAGGAAGTGGGTGTCGGGGAATATGGGCGTAAGCTAATACAAGTGGGATTAAACCATCTAGTCTGGTGTGTTGAGCACTAGTGTCAGTGGACGCACACTGGGCGGCGGTGCGAAGGGGGAATCACATATGTTGCATATATGACTTAAAGTATTTTCAAAGTGCATATCTATTCACATCTAAGTTCAAGCACCACCTTCATGAAAATATCGCCTCAAGGGAATTAAATTCTTATATTATGCATCTAATTTACTTTCCTATATTTGGACTTGTACGTGTGTTCTTTAGTAAACTGTCTAACATTCTGGGAGTGAGGTGATGGGGGCGGGGCGGCGGCGTGACCAGCAATACGTCCTTGTACTAATCAGTGTCCTCAGCACTACCCCGTGCCTCGGCGGCCCTCACAGTGGTCACCACGTCTCGTGCCACTCCCCCCACCAAACAACACCATCCATATGGGAATGGAAAGGGGGGGTAGTACAGTCTTGGTGATCGGGGAAGCGGTGTGGCAGAGTCTGAGGGAACGTGGGAGTGGTTGATGAGGGGGAATCTGTTAGGGGCGGGCACAACATCTGCTCAGTGAGTTAGCCTGTGGATGATTGCCCAGGGCCGCCACACGCAATGATAGATGCAGTGCCAGTCAGCGGACACTACGCCACCCTGGGGACACAATCACGTCCATAACCAACACTCCCACCTTTCTGTGATAACACCGTCAACTGACAATCCGACAAGTGTATCTTTATCAAATGCTTTCGAGCACACACATAGATCCTTGCGTGGTGATGTATCTCCTGTTAACTTCAAGAATATCTTCTTTGTTCAACTATTTCTACCTACGTGTGACAGTTGAGGTAGACCTTGCAGTAGGAGCACTGAGGTACACTCCACAGGGCGCGGCGTGGGTGGTTCCACTCTTCTTGGTACGCTTCTTATCTTGTACTATCACGTATGGCAAGAGTTATCAACACAATGTTTCCCTCCTGCACTCTAGGTACGACTGTACTTTCGAAGAGTTGTTCAACCACGTCAGCCCTGCCTCACTCAGCACTTAACTCACTAAGACCGTACAGTACTTCAATCATTCCAACTCGGAAAACTCTTCAAGTTAAAATCCACAGCGCAGGCCGTAGAGAACCTGTGTACTGTTAAGACAATGGAGGCGGGGGAGAATAATGTTATCTCCAAGGTCGTGGAGAGTGCAGCGACAACACACACCCGAGGCCAGGACCATGGTCGACGGTGATGCCTTTCATTAATCACAGGTAAAGTGACCCCAGCCTCCCTCACCCACATAAACACATACTGTACTGCAATACTATTTTAACCGGTAAATATTCGTTGAATGGCTGTGTCCCATTTTATTTATGAGAATAGTTTTGTGTGTGTGTGTGTGTGTGTGTGTACCTAGGTGTGGTTTACGCAAATTTGACCTTAATTTTGCACAAGCAATTAAGGTCAGATTTTAATAAAACACACCTAAATAAAAAAAAAATTATTCTCATAATTTCAACTTCCAAATCACTGTTGAAACCTAACTTAACCTAACCGAACTCTTGCTGCAGCCATTAAACGAATATTAACCCTAACCTAACCAAACCTATTTTAACTCTTGCTGCAGCCACTAAACGAATATTAACCTTAACTTTCAAATGGTTAATAAAATGAGATAGAAATATAACCTGATAATCAAGGGCACACAGATATAACTCAAACCTCGACACCTGGCCTCGTCCCCTTAAAACTAATCAATCACCTTGTCTACCTTCACCAAGGTCTCTTAACTTCTTCCCCATAACTTACCTAAATAAAGTGAACCCAGACGTTTAAGAGGAATATATGACTAATCTAATCAATGTAGCGACGCCCACACTGAATCGCTCAAACTATTTCATGTACAAGTTACTGCAGAAAATAATGAAGGAGTGAAAGGAACGCGAGAATCTTGGAGCCGTGTTCACCCTGAGACAGTACCAGGATCACATTGTCATACATGAGACGGATGTACAGATGTGGTGTACCTGGTGACAATAGCGTAGAGAAAAAAGGTGGGTGTATGATAAGAGAGGTCTTGTGTCATGCGTGTTAACATTAAATACAGTGCAGCTTGTGACATGAGGGTAGAGGAAAGTGTGGGTGTAAGATAAGAGTGTGTAGTAGTACATAATGCCATGATGTGTACAGTATATGGTGAATGAAGTATACCTGGTGCTGCCACGACCTAGTCTTCTAGTGTAGAAAGATTCGTCGGTGGTGGTGGTAGGGAGACGAACCTTCCCCTCTGTCGTACACACCTCCCGTGGGGGGTCACACAACAGGCCAGGGGAGCCAGGCATCTCACCTGACGCAGAACTGGCGCGAGTTTCCATGCCTCAACACATAATTATCAAACTTAAGCATATTTGGTTTTCAACTCCTGTCTTAGATTCTGTTCACACTTGTCATCACTTCTGTTTACAGTAGTTTTGCGACAGAATTTGTGTTTAACTTTACTTGCAATGTTGGCGGAATTCTTATCAACAAATTTTTCTAAATGTTTACGTAAAACACTCGTAAACTTTTCTTGTTGTTTGCTGTTAGGACAAATATTTATCATGGGTCAACATCTCAAGGCAGTAATTGTTGGTATATACAGAATTATGTCCTCTCACAGACTATTGAGATCTACAACCATGAACTTTATTATCTCAACAACAACAGAAAACAACAACACGGTAGTACCACCACCATCATAACAGTGTGTCACTATCACCACAATATGAATATCATCATCACCACAAAAACGTCACCATCACCACAATATCACCATCATTAAAACATCACGATCACCACAACGTCACTATCACCACGTCAACATAACCACAATAACACCATCACCAAAACATCACCACGTCACCACATGAGCATCACATCACCACAACCACACCATCACATCACGATCACCACAACGTCACCAAGGTCATTATCACCATACAGCCTGGCACGGTGATGGGTGTTCAAGAAGCGGCGGGTCACGTCTTGAACTCATTTATAAGTGGTGAGCGTGTCGGCGTCTCCTCCCACCAGGGCCACACCATGTGATGGCCTACACACCCAAGGCCACACCATCTGATGGCCTACACACCCAGAGCCACACCATGTGATGACCTACACACCCAGGGCGACACCATGTGATAACCTACACACCCAAGGCCATAACATGTGATGACTTACACACCCAGGGCCATACCATGTGATGACCTACACACCCAGGGCCACACCATGTGATGACCTACACACCCAGGGCCACACCATGTGATGACCTACACACCCAGGGACGCACCATGTGATGGCCTACACACCAAGGGCCACACCATGTGATGTCCGACACACCCAGGGCCACACCATGTGATGACCTACACACCCAGGTCCACGATGACCCGGGGTGA